AGGGGTCACGACCCACAGGTTGAGAACCGCTGGTACAGATGAACCACTGTAGGTCTAATTATATAGTGCCCGCCGGCAATATTAACATTTCCCCCCAAATGTTTTCTTTTCCTTTTTCTTTATTGATTAAGGTATTACACGTAGAGAGCGCCTGGGAAAGGCTCCTGAGGCGATTGTCATCTGAATCCATTGGCACCTGGCAGAGCCATGACCTGGAAACATACCTTGCCAGAGGCAGGTGTGTTGTCAGCCTGACCTTTAGCTCAGGCACCAGGGGGTGGGTTTCCTGATCTAAGTTCAGCCAGGCACCAGTGCTGGTAGCTAATTCCAGCAGGTCATAAATGCAAGAAGTTCATCAAAAGGTTGTTGGACTGCCCTAACCGGTTTGGCTCAGTGGATAGAGCATCGGCCTGCGTACTCAAGGGTCCCGGGTTCAATTCTGGTCAAGGGCATGTACCTTGGTTGTGGGCACATCCCCAGTGGGGAGTGTGCAGGAGGCAGCTGATTGATGTTTCTCTCTCATCGGTGTTTCTAACTCTGTATCCTTCTCCCTTCCTCTCTGTAAAAAATCAATAAAATATATTAAAAAAAAAGGTTGGTGGACCTTGAGCCTTTAGCAAGGGCTGGAAAATCACATGTTATTGTCTGCTGGGAATGGCTAAGGGCATTTCCCCAAACCTGAAAAGGATGCATAATTGATTGCTTGCTTCCAGACAGTTGAGGGCATTTCAGTCTACATGTTACTGCCTCCTACTGGTGAAACACCTGAACAGCTGTAGGCAGTTCCCCCAACCCAACAATGCGTCTGTATACTAAACCTTGATCTTTGATATGTATATCTACCTTGCCTTAGGACAGGAGTGGGCAAACTTTTTGACTGGAGGGCCACAATGGGTTCTTAAACTGGACCGGAGGGCCGGAACAAAAGCATGGATGGAGTGTTTGTGTGAACTAATATAAATTCAAAGTAAACATCATTACATAAAAGGGTACGGTCTTTTTTTTTTTTTTTTTTTTAGTTTTATTCATTTCAAATGGGCCGGAGCCGGCCCGCGGGCCGTAGTTTGCCCACGGCTGCCTTAGGACAATCCTATCTACTAAAGAGGGAATATGTTAACTGATCCTCACGCTGTCACAGAGATGGTGGCGCCCACAGCCACTAGATGCTGGTGCCCAGTCCCCTCAGCCGAGCCTGCTCTGGTGTCTGCCAGTCCTCTCAGCCCCCCAGCTGCCCAGGTCGGCCCGAGGCGCAGGCAAGCCTTGAATGGTGGCTGCCCAGCAACCCAGGGTGGGCCTGAGGATGACC